AAAGAATAAATTTTTTTAAAGTTATTTTGTTTAGAGTTAATTTAAATTGATGTGCAATCAGTATTCTTGTTATGTAAACCATATTTTTGTTAATAAATTAAGACTTTCGTTGTACGTACACTGAGAAATTAGCAGACGTCTAATTTTTATACATGTTTTTAAATTATTTTTGATACTAGTTTTGTTAGACGGTTGTTTTATTTGTAGTTAAATATTTTTTTAGATGTGAAAGTTGTTTGAATAATGAACATAATTTTATATGTATTAAGTTTTTTGATACGCACTTAAATATTTCCAGAAAAAAAATAAAGAAACAACTATACCACTTGGGGTGCCTGTATTTTCGACAGATTTGGAGTTATGATTTTTAATGCAAAGTGAATTCATGTTATTTTTTATGATTTGGTGATATTCATAAATAGATAAATAATATACTCGTGCATCCTATTATTTTAATATATAAAATTTAACACTAAATGCGCCAGCATGATTCGTGTAGCTGTAAACGCATTTTGCAAACGAGCGTTGATCGCGCTTCTGCCTTTTGCGCTGCTCTTAACCCTCGTCATATGAACAAGTCTTAAAAATACCGTGTAGTATCAATATGTGGATGATTTCAATTTTCTGTAAAAAAATGATAACGTTCGTTGTAACTGACGTTTTTGACAATAAAACCATCAATCAACGATCCAATAAAATAATCCACGTTCGAGTTCAATTTCCCCGAAATATAGGAAATTCCCCACATATTGAGCCCACCGAGTACAATGATGATTTCATTATTTCATTCAAATTCGTTCTAAGTTCATTCGATAACGAAACGTCATCTATTCAAAATAAAATAAGTGAAATAAGTGTTCTTTGTAAATAGAGTATTTTTTAGCAAACAATTGAAGAAGAAGCAGGCAGTCTATCGTTAGAAAACAGTATTGTTTTGTGCCTGTTGTAGTAGTTGTGATCACAAACTAATAAGAGATACGGTTGTGAACGATATTCGTGGTAAATATTTTCAGCAGTTCTAAAAAGTAACGGAAAATGGTGAAACTTTGCAGTGCAATATTAATTTTCTTCACTTGGACTTTGTGCTGCACTGTGGCAGCCTTTCAAGGTGGCCCAGATCCGTGGAATATAAAAGATAATGGACTATATGAAAAGATTAAAATAGATAAAAATGTTCCTCCTGATTTGAAGATATTGCCCAAGAAAAAAGTAGAAACAGAAGGCAATCTCGGACATGGAGAGTGGTTCTTTAGGAGAATCTTAGCAATTGTCCTCAAAGGAGGCCAATTTAAGGTTTGTTTGTAACGAGAAAATTTTCTCATATGCTGTATTAAATTTCGAATGATGACAAGTTGAGTTAGCTTAATAAAAATATTTATGTTGCAACAAAATATATAGTCACGACACTGTGCTTTTGAATTGAATTGAGTTGAATTGGCTTCTGGTACACTTAAAATTTTGCTTAACGTTTTTTGCGAATGATACTAAAGTACTAGTATTATTATAGTATAGGCAGTTTTCTTAAAGAAACTTTTAACTTTAAAAAAAAACCACATTTTTCCATATTTTCTAAATTGATATTTTATATTTCCATACTTGAGAAGCATTACACTGTAAGCACCATTTTTGTAATTTTACGGGGGAAGCAATTTTGTGTTGAAAAGCAGTTTGTATGCCAATTAGGTTAGCTCGAAATGTTATTAAAACTCAATTACTTACTTTTATTTCAAGCCATTGTAAATGTTGTACATGCTACATTTCGACACAAAATCGCATCTCTGGTAAAATGACAAAAATAGCACTTACAGTGTATTGCTTCTCATGTACGGATTTTATGTATAATATCTTATAAGTTATAAATAATAGAAAAAAAATTATAAAAATAATTCAACAGGAAACCCACAAATCAACCTTAAATATCAACCTTGTTTCTATATCATAACAACAATATTCTATTGAGTTTGATCAGTTAGTATCTTAATTAACATCAAATAATGTTTCTGTGGTTTGGGAACTTTAGTAGCAGTAGAGCTCCTCATGAAAGAGTTCATCCAATGAAGTACTGCCACCTTACCCATTTCTGCCCCTAACCAAACCATAGAACCAATTGAGAAGCAATTGTTCTCCCGTTAGGCTACCACTACTGTAAAATGATGTCATTATCATGATTCAATATGAAATATTAATTGTAATGAATGTTATGATGTTTTACTGCCATGGTATTAATTTATTTTTGTGAATTTACTTTACTAGTTTGTTAAATTATTATTGCAAATATCGAACACAAAGAAAAATTCCTTTGATCTAACAAGACACGACCCTGCAACAGCAAACTTTACAAATTGTTCTATGCTTTTGTTACAGATCGTTGTTTTTTGGTTTTAATGGATTTTTGTCGTAGCTCCATCTGTGAGAAATCGTTGAAAGTTTTTTTCACTCTACAGTCCCATGAGATTTTTTTTAAAATTATTATCAATCTTCATTCCCTGGGCTTTTAGTCATAAATCATTATGAATGTAATGTATTACTATTGTATTGTTTTAGCAAAATGAGGATGGCAGTGTGGATATTTCATTACAAATGAGAATTAATGGAGAAGAATGGAATATATTAGAAGGTTTGCTAAGATCTCAAACTCCTCTCTCTGAAGACATGTATAGGCGTTCTGTGGGGTATATTGAGCAGGCTATATACCAACCCAGTATCACTGACAAGATTATCATGGCATGGGGAGACTATGTCCAGATTTACCTAACTGAGTATAAGGTATAATTTACTGTGTAGTGTGACCGTAATTTCTAAAGCTATAAATAATATCACATTTAGAATGTAAGTTTCTCTGAGACAGAACTCATGAAGCGGTCTTGACCCGCGCCCGTTTCGGTTGCCGGACAGCTGTTTTATTTCAACACTCACGATACCGCAAGTTTGTGCGGTCACGTAGCCGCCGCGGTTGCGGAACAGCCCGCAAACTTGGCGGGAGAGGATCGCAAGTCGCGCGGTTATTTACGATCGCTTGAGATCGTCAGTTAAGTCTCGGACGTCGCCATGGACTCACATCAAAAATGAGCTATCGCGTGATACTTACTTCATCGAAGAAATTAAAAGAAGAAGGCCTAAAAGATTCAAGGTGCATCCTCTGATTCCGGAAAGAAATAGTTACGGATTATCCGTTGTTCTTATTAATGAGTTAAAAAAAACAAGAAGACAAACTCTTTATTTTATTCGGATGTCCTGTATCTGTATCTACTTATACAGAACTTTTAAGAAAATGGTAACTGGTAGGAAATTAATTGATCGACTTCAACATCCATAACTTGAAAAATTGACACGCGCTGCCAAATTGAAAATCAATCACAAAATGGCGCGGGAAGGAAAGAAGCAACCCGCGCGGGTGCCCACGTCTCGCGCGATTTGCGGCCGCTGCGGGCGTAAAACGCGTCGTGAAATGTGCTACTAAATTTTGCATACATTTATACATTCTTCGGAGGCTGCGGTCCCGCAACCGCGGCGGGCGCGGGTGAAAACCGTTGCATGAGTTCACAGCCTTAGTCAATCTGTAATATTAGTGCAACCTGCCTTATTTACTTTTAGAATAAAATTAAACAACAAAATCTTTTTAGCCTTTATTGTGTTTAGGGTTCCAAATGTTAGGAAAAATGGAACCATTCACAGACATTTTCTTCAAAAACTATTGTAGTTGTTAAAATACTGGGCCACCATACATTTAATTCCAGAAATTCAATAATACCCTGTTGGACTAGCACGACAGGGCGCGACTTGCGCAAGAGCGACATAGAGCACGTGATATTGCTAATCTGGCATAGAGAGCCCGCGCTTTATGTCGCTCTCGCGTAAGTTGAGTCTTGACGTGCTAGCTCTACTGATTTATTAGAGACCAAGGACTGTATGTACACACGCCAGCATATCAAGCTACACATTGACGTATCTTATTCCGTTGCACTGGAGGTGATTTTCGAACAAAAATTCGTAGTCTGATGTGCCGTTGTCCGTACATCAAACTAAAGTAACCAATGTGTGAGATTGAATTTTATTAATGATATTTGTCTGAGCTAGTATGATACATTACGATATTTTCCTTCAAAATGTTTCACAAACTTAAACATTTCATATAAAATTTTTTTCAGACTGAAATCACCTGGACATTGGCCGCGTCAGCAGTTGCTTTTACATTGTTTTGGCTCTGGACCCATATGTCTCACAAACATCTGATGGGAATTGTTTTTCTGGCTTTATATTTTTATGAAGCTTTCGTTAGCTTTAAGGTAAGGTAATGTTAATCGACAGAAATATTTTCGGTCCCTGTCACATAATTACACTTACAATAAGCATAAAAAACAAAATCGGATTAATATTACGGATAAGTCGAATTTTTTTAATAATGGGAAAAATTTTTTTCGAATGATACTGAGCGGGTGCTGGTCGTAAGATAATTCTCGCAGAATCGGTCGCAGATAATTCTATTATTTACATTATTAAGCATTATTTCGACGACGTCTGTTGCCCAACGGTCTGCTCTGGGCACTGGATCAGGAGGTCCCGGATTCGGTTCCCGATAGGACCAATTTGGGAAATGATCTTTTCTAAATTGTTTCTGGTCTGTGTGGTCTGGGTACTACCTCAGAGTGAATTTCGCTCTTCTAGTACAGGCAATTCCCTAGTTTGAGACAAGAATTGGTGTGGCGCACACACTTATAGCGCTGACTAGGGAAATTCTGTACCGCGGGTGCCATGAACACACATAAACAACAACAAATTACACCCAAACTCACGGGAGAAATAAATGTAGGCCATACAAATATTTCTCCCGGCAGACCACTATGGTAACCGATCGGCCATGGAGGCAGTTAAGGAGACAATTGTAGAAGGTAATGTCCACATTATTCTTTAGTTTAGCTAAATTAACTCTCTCAATTCCGATCACTGGTTATCAATTAACGCCCTTAGCGGTCCAGCAGTTATCATTGTGGGCAACGAATGATGAGATCCCGAATACGATTCCCAATAGCATCTATTTGGGAAACAAACATGTGTATAATTGAGTCTGGTTTGGGTGTTCTAGGTAGTGCCTGATAGTTAGACCAGGTAATTGGTTGATAAAAAAACCGTTTGTTTTGCACTGTTTGCCATCTAATTATATCTATGCAAGTAGATAGGTGCAGTCCGAACTTGAATATTGTCTGCACAAAGCTTACTTTCAACTTATTTATTTTTTCTGTTCTACAGGAAGCTGAACAACAAGAACTCGACACATTTCTAACAGCCGTAAACAGCTGCAAATGGTACAACATATGGTCTTCCCAGTGTGAAGTACCTAAACCTAACCCAACCGTCTTCCTTAAACACATGAATCCTTTGAAAATTGCTGTTAGAATGTTCACCACACTCATATCAGAGCCTATGATTGTTCTTAGTGATGCTTTGAAGACTACTGTTCTTAGTATGACAGGTAATGAAAGTATATTAAAAGCTGCTAGATTATATTTAAGCTAAGAATTATAAAACGAACTTTCAACTAAGCGATGATCGCGAACTAAGCAAGTTTTTCGTATTTGCATAACGAACTTTGTTTAAGCAAAAAATTTAATTAAATTAAAAAATTTAAGTAAATCGTAATTTCTTGCATAAATGCTAAATTTCGCTTTGTAAATACGAAAAACTTGCTTAGCTCGTAATATTTGCTTTATAAAAGTAATAGTTCGTTTTGTAAATCTCAGTCTAAGGGTCGTATTCTAGAACTCTATTCAATGCTCAAGTCAGGATTGCACTGGCAACACAAGCACTGGAAATACGACCCTAATGGCAGGGACTTGAGTATGATTTCTACTGCTTTGAATCAAACTCAAGTCCTGACTTAAGCATTGAGTAGAGTTCTAGAATACGACCCTAAAACCCTTTTTAATATATAATAATTAGTTATCCACTTATAAACGAGATTATAAATTTATTGATTCCATTCAGTAATTTTTTGAACTTTCAAACCGTGTTTTCTCAGTTTATTATATTTGAGTAACGACGCTATTTGGTGTCATGTTTCGATCCGGACACGTTCCATTAAACAAATTTTTGTATTTGATGTGGAGGGTGAACCCACCGAATTGCGAAGTGCGTGGAATTCCTGAGGATGTACAGTCGGTGGCGTCACTTACGTATCCACTATTTGTATAGCACTTGGTACAAATAGTGGATACATAAGTGAGGGCACCGACTGTACATCATTTGCTCATGGAGTGTGGTTACGAAGATTTTGTATACATACATGTTTGGTTAGGTAGTATTTTGATTTATTTGTCTGGATTTTTTAAGTGTTTTTTGGGGTATTGTTTTTCTAATAAGGCTGACATATTCAATAACGACCAAAACCCCGTAAATAATAAAGATTAAAAAAATGCAAATTTGCAAACACTTATTTTTCAAATCACGCGTAATAACTTGCACTGTGTTCTATCCTATCATCAAAATAATTATATAAATTGATTCAGACCCAGACAATATTATTCCTACGTAAACGTCCAATGTACATTATAATGAAAATATCGCATTAAATTTTCGCTATATATATTCTAAATGACCATAGAAGGGCATCTAGAAAAATACGTTTGTCATACAAACTGAGGGCGTGTATAAAGATGTACGAACGACATGGCTCTAGATTCCCACAAATTTGATTATGAAGTGTATTCTTATAGCATTTAAGTTTATTTGAAAAGAGCAACCCCTAGGGTTTCGTGCTTGTTCTTCTTAGGGAAGTCAGCACAGTGAATGAGCAGTGGCTTAATAAACGACGTTTTCAAGTGTAAATTGGATGAATATATATAAATTTAGTACGTTTTAATGTGCATTGGGTATTTAACGCCTTTCCCTTTGTAGTTTGCTAGGTCTTACGAGGGTAAATGTGATACTTTATATAAAAATCTTACTTTTTTTTTTTCTTTCAGATGGCCTGTGGCCCCCATTTGACACAGTCGTGTACGGTTTTTTAATGATTACTTTCAATGTGTTGCTTATGCTCTTTCTCATTTCGATTATTTGTAATTTCGTATTCAACATACCAATAAATCTTGGTTACCTTGGAATAAGTCTTGGATTGACACAACGTGAAAGAACTATATTTTCTGAATCTAATGGGCGTAGATCAGAAAGAAGCGACAATGAGCAAAATAGGGCAGAGCCAATTAGAAATAATTTAAATGAAGAAGACAGAATAAGTGGTACTAATTTACAAACAGTATTAAATATATGCGCTAAGGCTTTGAACGCACCTCATGGCAATGGTGCTGCAAACCAGGACCTGATTGACAATGGTGCTAAAAACCAGGAACTGACAAATGGTTCATTTAGTGATCATAATGTAGGAGCGAGCACTAGTCAAACAAACTCTGATACAAATTCGGATATCAGTGTAGACATTCGAAAAAGAAAGAAAGATACAACCGTAGATGAAACCGGGGATGCTCACTAAAAATTGTTATTAATCGGTGTCCATTTCACTATTTTTATTTAATTTGTTTTTTTTTTTAATATCAAGTGACGGGACGAAAAAGTACGCCTCGTGGTTAAGCTACACTCCTGTCCATAATAGTTGTAGTGCCACTCGGAGCTTTAAATCGCAAAGATATGACGGACACTGCCACTGCACCCGTCACTATGAGACATAAGTTGACAAGTCCCATGTACCTGTAATTTCACCAGTGCCTTTTAAAGTTTAAGTGGTTTTTTTTGCCGTAGCCGCGTTGAGGTAACAGGCTGTAGTGAAACATAATGTTATTCAATAAAAATAAATACCCTCATGTAATAGTTACCATCAAGTAGACTTCCTCCGTGGCCGAACGGTTACCATGCCGGACTGCCACGCAGAGGTCCCTGGTTCGATTCCCGGGCCGGGAGAAATATTTGTATGACCTACATTTATTTCTGTCGTGAATTTGGGTGTAATTTATGATTGTTATAATGTGTGTCACGGGTTTCCCTAGTGCGGGGCTATGTTGAGTGTTATTATTATTATTATTATAGTTGCAAAACTACTTAACTGTAATTAACCAACTTCAAAAAAAGGAGGAGGTTCTGAATTCGACTGTTGGTTTTATTTGTATGCATGTTACGCCATAACTCTGAACCGTGAGCCGATTTTGATGATTCTTTTTTTTGTTGTAAAGAGGGTACCTCAGTAGTGGTCCCGTTTAAATTTGAAGAAGAAAATATTCCACATGTATGTGAGGGTGGCAAACCAGTAGGACTAACACGATGGGGCGCAACTAGCTCGAAAGCGAGAGATACTGCTATTGTCGCATAGAAATCTCGCGCAAGTCGCGACTTGTCGTGCTAGCCCTACAGGGGATGAACGAGTTTTGAGGATCGGTTTATTTAGTCTTTTACTCCATACTAAGATTATATTGAGAACGAATTATGAGCCAGCAGTGCCTAGAAATAAAAATACCTAGTCATTTTTATTTGATTTTTACTACTGTACATAATTTTACATGACCAGAATTTCTTTTGTGATGCTTTTTTGATAGAGAATGATTAATGATACTCTGTAAATAATTTAAGTAGGTAATAAGCTCTGTAAGATTTTGAATTTTTAATTGTTTGTATATTGTGTAAATAATATCTCTAATTTTTATACTTTCAATAAATCAAAATCAAGTAATTGTGGTTTTATTATTGTACTACCATGGTACGCTAAACGTAAAAAAAAGATAAGCACAAAGAGAATTTACATAATATTTATAAATATTTTTAAAAGAGAAATAAATATAATTTTAGTTTAATTAATATCGATATCGCTGGTTAATTTCGATGAAATTAATATCGATTTCACTGACTCACTCAGACATCTTTACGGCAGTGTTTGGCGTTATGCAATTAAATTTCAATCAGAAATTAATTTAATTGCATTTTTTTTAATTGTCTGACATGACTTTTCAATTAAATGCTATATGGGTATCATTTTTGAGGTATTTGAGGGTGCTCATTACGAATATGGCACTCAGTTCTAAGTCTCTCTCTCTCTCTCTCTTTCTCACTCACTCACGTGCCCTAGAAATTTATCATAATTGTCAGTTTTAATTCTAAATCAAAAACATTGTAAAGACTGAAAATTGATAATTGAAATTGAATTAATGATTGAAATTGTTAATTGTAGATATACGCGATTAGCAATACAATTGATTAATTGTTACTTGCGAGAACAGCAATTAACAATTAATTGTTAATCTTTAATTGCCTAAACAATTAAATTTTGCCCAACACTGCTTTACGGTAAATTATATATTTTTAAAATACATATATCGCACATGACAACTAACATAGTATGTGCTCTCGCCAAATTGCTTTAAGTTATATTAATATTCTCTATTTAATTTCAAAGCGACAGTGTTGTCCTGTCATTTTCATTAAATTGTATATGAATGACATATAAATATAGCCAAATTTTGGAGATTAATTATGAATATAACGCATATTTGAGATAAAATAGAATATAACGCAATTTTTGAGATAATACTATGTTAGTTGTCAAGTGCGATATGTACTTCACGCCCTTTTTGAGACAACAGCCTACCACTTGCTACGATCCTGTAACGTATCTTTCGTCTCGTGCTTACTTGCGTATTCGTGCTAACACGTATCATGCTTTCATACATGCTCGTCGGGTAAGGGCAGACCGGGCCTTTTAGGACGTCTTTAATTTGGATGGTAATTTCCCTTACTAACTTGCCCTTTCACTTGCAGTCTCTTTTTTAAAAAGATGTTACTAATTAAAAAAAAATCAAAAACTGGCGACAAAAAATGATAGAAGCATGTCAAGAGTTGTACTTAATTGAAATGAAATTGTTTAGCAGATTAATGGTAACAATGACCATATACGTAAGATCATTGAATGATAAACAATCTTTAGTATAAATTTTGGACACATTCTGTTTCAGTGAATTCATTAAGATATCTACAAATACATCACTATTTATCAATGGCTAATAGCAGCTGACAGTTCTAATCTCTAATTATGATAGTTCTAATCTTTCCATCCTCTAAGTTAAAAATAGGTGAGAAAATAATGTCAAAATATAAAATAAATTATATAAAAACAGGCGTTTGTCGCCATTTCTATTAAAACAAGGAAACGAAACTAATATATGATATAGTATGGTAGAAGCTTTGCCTACCCAAATAAATGGGTGAAAAGTTATGAAATAAATTTATGTCAAGTAATAAATAATACAATAACAGAAAGAAAACGTTAAAAATGCAATCGTCATTTTCCGTGAAATTCGAATAACTCCAGAATAGCTCTAGAAAAAAAAATGTGTTTTATTCACAAACTGTATTGAAGGCTTATAACTTTTTTTTTTAAGTTAGTATTATTTGGTCGAGTACTACTTATTTGACAGTTATTTTTTCGGACGGAAAATGAGAGTAGACCCCCTGCAACGCATACGCATATTGACTTTGACACCAACATTCAGACGTCATTCGAATAAGTCTGAAAAATGGCACCTTATTTACAAGCTGTATTGAAGCAATAATCTTATACAGTTAATTGAAGGCTGACAACTTAGTTTTGACCCCTGCAACGGATAAGCTAATATTGACTTTGATATCGTTGCCAATGTTCTTATTTGTAATAGGAGAAAACCGTAAAATGCAAGGGTTAAAATAAATATGTCGGTCTTAAATGATTTATTCGAAAATGACTCTTAAAATGTAATAAAAATAACACGACCAATATAATTTTTAAAGGTTTTATTCGGTGATGACGTATTGAAAAGTGTCACAAGATCAATTAAAAATATATGAATTGTAATCGTTCAGTTCAAATATTCTAAGCGTTAATTCGTCAAAAAAATTATTCAACATTCTTGTGAAGCGAAACTTTATATACTTATCCTACACTGCTATTGGTCAACAAACATTCCCAACCTTGATAAATAACATTTGTAACAAAACGATACACACGTATGTACAACGGAAACATCGCTCCAAACGAAGCCAAGTTGAAATGAAATGTGGTACATTTACCAGCATAGTAACGACAGAACCGGGTAGACTTATATTATCTACTTATTACCACATAATGATAACGCTCTTGTTTTCTTGTTAAAATAAAATAACCAAAACTCCTTGTCATAACTAACAACATTTGCATTTGGTAACTGTCGAGATATTAGCACCTATTTATTTATTTGAAAAAATTTCAATTACGCAGATTTACGAATTTACGAAAGACTGAAACTAAGCAAAATATTTTTAAAAATCTCTTATAGGGGTTTGTGGATCTCGTTTCGCTGATTTCAGATATTATGTTAATAACTAAATTTCGCTAAAAATGTCAATTACGTTAGTTATGATAAGGAGGGCACAAAAGTGAAGGGCATAAGGTTGAATATTATGTCCCTTTTGCCCATTGATAAGTAATGATGTATTTATTATTAATATATCATTAGGAAAAACATGGTAACAAAGTTTTGAAGGAAAAATAATACCATAAGCAGGATGTTTAACAAATTGTAATATTTTTTTTAATGATGGTGATTGAAATTACTACTCTATCGTTTACCATGTATGGTGAATGTTTTGTTAATCACGATTCACATAAGGCGCATCTATGTCCGACTACCCTACTAATATAGAATCTAACGCAATATGGACTATTCACTCTATGATAGGTTCACACTCGAAACTTGACCATTCTAAACACAAAGGATCACTAAGTACCTGATCTTAGTATTACGAGTAACGAAATTGACTCCAGGGCACTATACAGCACACCCAAACGAGAACCAATTTAGAAAAGTTAATTGTCCAAATTGGTGCTACCAGGAGTCGAACCGACGACCTCTTCATCTAGCGCTCACATTGCGAACCGTTGGGCCGTCGAAGTCGTCAAATGTCGTTACGAAGGCTTATTGGATTTTGAAGGATAACAAATTTTTTTACCTATGGTAACATCGAGGATCACGGTTCGAACGGAGGGAATATACTTCGCAAGATGGCAGACATACAAATCCAACATTATATGTAAAACATAGCATTTTGCACAGTGAAAACCAAAACTATGTTCGCCGCCCAAAGGACAGCAATGCACTTTTCTCATTCTTTCTCACGTCAAAATGTCTTTTCAGATACAGAGATAGGTCCTAGAATGGTCCAAATATTCGACGCAACCAGTCAATGTGTACACTTACACATCGAATGATGGCTACAGATACGAAATCCACTACGTATAGAAGCTATTAGGATTTCAGAGGCTCAATGGCCTTGTGATAAAGAGGATTAGAGAAATTCGGATCCTAGACGGGGGGTATTCCCAATTTTCTAAGCCTGTTCAGGCTGTATTCGATCTACTTATAAATTTAGCACAACATTTCTAATCGCATTTGAGGTCAATAAAATTATTATAGACTAAATCAAACACAGATAACTCTAGTTAATAAATAATTATTAAAAAGTAAATATTATATATATACTTAATTATACAAATACTTGTTAACTCTAATGAAGATATACATCTACATCAAATAACACAGCAGATGACTAGATTCGTAAAATAATATACGACTTAATTGTAACAAAAAATATTATAATTACAAATAAAGGAATGTCGTGCAACTAATAAATTCAAAATATAAACACTATCGTAATCTGTTTTAAGATTACTACATAATTGCAGAAAAAATGATTGACCTTTGAAATATTTAAATGTATTTCTTAGTTACAGAGATAACATCGTCTCTTACTATTACTACTATAATATTATTGCCATGTAATTGGGCACCATGTTGAAGAAAATTTCAATAAGCTTTTATAGTAGAGTGATAAGTACGTGTAGAGACAAGAGTGGAAATAATAGGGCCCCAGTAAGTGCAGTGACAAGCTCCTAACAATTTACGGTATACTTTTGGCCACACATTTTTTAAAGCTTTTAATATACAATCTAGCTGGTTGACGGTATCCCAGCTATAGAGCTGGGATAGTCCAGATCGATCAGAACCTTATACCTTCGTTTTAAAATCAGGAACGCACGGTACACAGTGAATTTGACCAGCAAAAATTGTAATAAATACTTAAAAGTGTAGGAAGGCCGCGGTCAATTCTTACGTACTTGGCACTTTGCAACCAAATCATCCAATCTGTCGCCGGGTGACGATGCTTTCTACAGTATCCGTCACTGGATAAGAAAGAATCTTTTTCGTAAGAGTCTAACCGACCTTTTGGGCTATCCTTTGCTATTTCCGAATTTCGGAACTAAGGCAAAGGCAGTAAAATAATCCGTAAGAAACCGAAAAAACTCCTCTCGTATATCGTTGGCTTACAAGGGAATCACAGGAAATCTAAGATTCAAATTTAGAATCAATAGTAATTTTTCTTTTTTAAAGATATTTTAGATTCTCAATAAAATCATTATTTCTTTGCAGTTTAATGTTTTAATTTTAGAACATTGAAATTTATTAAAAGCACCTTAAGCTGCGTTTCACTTGTAAGCCGACGTAATTCCATATTACCATAAATCAGTACTGTATCGCACAAAAGGTAGAGTGCCGGAATTTCTAACGGAATTGAACTAAACTAGAATTTGTAACAATTTCAGGCTAGTCTTGAAGATATTTAAGAATCGAAAGTTTAGAACATTGTCAATGCATAAATTGAAGTCCAAGAAGTATAAGATGAAGAATTAGTATCATTAACGAGACATCAAATAATAACCACTTGTAATAATCAACAGACAAACAAAATTAAACCTACGGTAAAATTACATCAATTAACATCAAACAACTTTGGTCCAGCTATAACAATACAGTTTTTAACAATTTCACTATACGTTTAATCCTCGGGTTCTGCCAATAAGCAAATATCAAACGACATTGCGCTAGTCAGCACTAGCACATTCTGCTTTTTCTTCTCCGTGTCCTTGCCATAGCAAACACATTTCTTCTGGAGTGAGCGCCAAGGAAGGGCTGTGTCAATAACGAAAGTTTAGTTGTTATTACTGGGGAAGTAATATAACACTCGACTCAAGCCCTTCCTTATCACTACACTACTCTACGCGTTATCAACGCATACTTAATTGTGCGATTCCGAATACAGCATATTGAAATGCCAAATTGTTTAACGTGCTTGATTGACCTGCTATGTCAAAAAGGACAACATTAGTTTCAATAAGGGTAGTAAAAAATGATATACGGAAAGTACCGAAAAATCTGGAGACAGACTCGGCAGACTTTGCGAATTTATCTGTGTGCTTCTTGCAGATCTTATATTGGGTTCAAACGTTATTTTGCCACCAGCGCCATCTGCGGGAAACTTATGAAAGTTTCTTGACTCAGCCAGGTACATTTACAGCTACCAGTGTTGAAACAGTGTTAAAATAGCAGTGAATACTAGATCCTATATAAAGATAATATCACGTTCAAGCACCAGACGAATGTGACACGGGCACATTCAGGGATTAATCAGTTACACATTAAGACTTCAAAATCTGTCATGGAGACTTCCAGTTAGTAATATGGACTGCTCAACAAACCATGTTGTACATTTCACCAATGGGACAATCAAGAAGTTTGAACAATTTGTTGTTTGAATATTCTGTACCCGGAGTCACTTGGGCAAACGACCACTATTACTTGTCACCTAGTGTTTATATAGGTAAACTTTATGCTGATTTCATATTACACTATACGATTACTTCCTGATGAATAATCCTTACCTAAATTACATTGTCAACTCTACATAATTTACATAATATTATTATGTATGACAAAACTTTAAGTTCTATATTGGTGAAACTTGCACTTACTTAAAAGCATGTGGGCGCAATATGAAACCTATTAAATATATAATAATAATAATTAATATATTTTCGTAAATATTCCTCACTATGAGGTGCATTATGCGATAATGGTAATATAATCGACTAGATAAAATTTTAATGGACAATTCTAATTGGATATGTAAGTGAATGATATTAAATAAAGTGCATTATTATCTAGCGATAGCTACTTTTAAAATTTATGTAGAACAGGTACATGTAAAAAATGCTTCATTGCACCTCTCAAGGTGTGCTGGAGAAAGGCTATAAAGATTTTTCCCATTATCCTACCAAGTTTGAATGAGTACTATCGTTTTAAAATGAAATTACCGTTAAGCCCCACTATTCGCATTGAAGTTGTATCGTGACGACGTGAACTCAATCGCGTTAAATCCCAGTCGCTGTTCAATTACATTTGTACGAATTAATTTTAAATGTTATAATACTAGATATCAACTTCGTACCTAAGAAGGTACGAGAAAGATCTCGTGACTGACATTTAATTTGAAGCTGACGAATTATTAACAAAAAGGTAATACTAAGAGAAAAATGCTATAAGTTTTGTCATGGAACAACTCGTACACAAATGGAGGGACTTCACGGAAAGTCACAATAAAGTTTCATTATCATTAAATAAAATATATTCACGTAAAATCGATAATGCCATTGCGAGACGAATATGTGCAACTATTTGGTACAGAGCACCGCTAATTTACCGCGTATTCTAAGTACTCTATCCATCCATTGAACACTTTAAATCACATTGTCTACGAGAAACTATGGGAAACAATGCCTAATAAATGACGTAACTTTTGTTACTCCATGTTTTGGCACAAATTGTATTTCCCACTATGACATTATCTACTTTTATGTTACGGTTATGAGTTGAGTAAATTAACAATTTAAAATTAGTGTAGCTGTGTAGCTACAGTAGTCAGAGCTACTTAGCTCCTCATTAAATTCCGCAATTAAATTCCTCATGTATATAGCATTTTGTATTTACTCCCCCCGTATTTATTCGAAACGTTTTGGGTTTGGCGTGAAGCAACGCCCGTGATTTAAAAAGGCAGTCTAACTACACCGTACACTGGCGACGTGCATTCTGAACGGTGTGTCGCTGTACTAAGATACGACCTACCACAGTGGCACAAGTTAGTGCTATTGACGGTAACGGTTGTAAGTGTAACAAATTTGCAGACGGCGGCGTGTATCAGAATTTTACTTGGCATTATTCAGATACTTTCACCACCTGTCACCACCGCTCGCCTTACTAACAAGGTTGACCTGTTTCATGTCTCGAATAAATAGGAACTAACTGGAAACTATTACATAGTATAATAAGAAGTAGGGTAACTCCATACAAACTTAGCAGCAGCGGCTTCTATGTGGTGCACACATAGAAGCCCGCCGCGCGGAACGGACACACACATTCGCATAAAATCGCGGTGTCGCGTTCACTCGGTGTTTAAAAAAGACATCAAATAGTAGACGTGCTTATTGTTATGTTTAGTCCCTATCTACCATCAGTAGACCGGAAGGATAGGGATTCCCGGGGGAACTATGGGCTCCCCGGTATGATCAGGGTACGGCGGGCGTCCGGGCTAAGCCCTCCACTAATGATACGCCTTCACGGGCGTCTCTGATGGATCCGGACTCTGGGCAAGGACTCGCCGGGGCTTGTGATAGTTGTACAGATGGACATGTTCGTCTGCCTCGGTAATGTGTGGCTTGGACGAGGGCCTAATGCGAAAGGACCGCGACGCGCGCGAGTTGCCCTTTGAATTGGAAACTATGTCCGGACATTGTCACAGGACACTGCGACTGGTATCTCCGTTGCTAGTCAGGATAACTATTAGAGGATAAGCTAAATATCCCCCGGTCGGTCCAACCGTGTCTGAATAATAGCAACTGGATAGGCGCATGGGGGGCATCTGGAAATGAGTGTGCCAACAGCTCCGGTACCTAGAGGGATAATAGAAGGTGCTATGAACTAGCTTTTGAGAACCGGAGTGACAACCCTGTCCACGGGCTGATCTGGGGTCATGACCTGAACTTATAGCGCCCCTGTGCTTGCACAGCTTATAGTACCTTTCCCATATACCCAATAGGTTCGTAAGGAGAGTCACTATAAACACAATTATGTAAAAAATATATAGGACTGTCATACGTATGGTGGTTTAAACAAAAGTTACTCAAGTCCAGAATTGTTCAATGTGATGTGATGTTGTGAATTGTATAATTCATTATAATTATTAATAACAAAGGCTATTTCAATAAAGCACGAGAACACTGTGATGAACGTCATAATTTTTAAAATTATGATTAAAACCCTACGCTAAGTAGGTACAATTAAAATAATAATGTGACAACCCTACGCTGCGAGGGAAATGTAGCCATTGATGCGCCGAGCAGGAGGGAGTTGCCCTGTTTGTCTTATTATAATATGCTATGTATGACTAACATTCTTGAATCACGGCAAAATACACTTCGTTTATAACTGAGAAAGCACAAGATATACCGGCAGGTCCCTTAATCAACTTATCGATTATCCCGATTGTTTGTATAATGCATTCAATTGCGTAACAGTGAGTCCTAAAAAGACTCGATTTCGTTGTATTTTCACACTAACAATTATACGGAATTATTTCTCATGTCAGTCATTATAAAATATGTTAACTAGTGTAAATAACTTAATATTTTAATTAGCAAAATACGCATTTCAATGACTGTCAAGCTCCATCACAATGGAAATTAATATTTAAAGGCATAATTATTTACTACTATAGATAATACCTACCCTAGATCGGTGCTTTTAGAACTTATACGACAGATGTATTGAATGACTAGAATCAAACTGACTGGTTATTATTATCGGTGGGTTCCGCAGTCGTAACAGACCATGTTACATGACTTCACACTTCTCTCTGCCGCTCGCCGACGCTTCTCCGCCGTCCTTCACTACTTTGTCTTTTTTCTTTTTACCTTTTCCGTCTACTTGAAGAGAAACGTTTCTGTTTTTCTCCATGTTTAACAGCTCCTGAAAATTAACGCAATGTACACATGCATACAAGACGAGATTTTTTTAAATATCCTAAAATAAGGTTGTAGTACTCGAAAACTTACACAGGAATTTTGCAAAATTGCCTGGTTTATTTTCCATGAACGAAATTTAAAAAAGAGAAGGAATAATTTTTCGTTTGTATATATTTGTATGCATTTAATTTCATTTGTAAGAATAGTTCAACTTTATAGAATTCTAAATTAACAAAACACTGTTTCGAAATCATTAATACACAAAAATAATTTAAAAGAGTTCTAACCTGGAAAAGCTGTGTAACATTATGATTGGTCTTAGCTGAGGTCTCCATAAAGGATACACCCCAAGCCTGCGCTTGAGCCTGGCCCTCGGCGGCGGACACTTCTCTGATTTCCGGGCTCTCATCACACTTGTTCCCCGCTAGCATCACGGGAATATTCGGCAGCTCTGTGCCTTTGATCTCCTTTATCGTCTGCCATATCGGTTTCAACTCTTCGAGAGACTGTCGACTGCTCACTGAATACACCAGTATGAATGCGTGTCCCTGAAAGTTGTAAATAAGACGCCGTTAAAGCATATATCGTGTGGCGATCGCAATACATTTTCTATCTGTAGTTGTATGTGTAAGACTATTCAAATTATTATAAACTGACGAACAGGTCCAATGACCCAGTATCTGAACGCGGAAAAAGGGGTACGTGATAGGACTAACCATCCGTCTAATATTATATCAGTATTCTTGCTGCTAAGTAACGTACCATCATTACCATCGTCAACCCATTTATACGTCCTACCGCCGGGTACAAGTCTCCCCCCTTGGGAAGGTTTTAGGCCAGACTGCCAAGCTGACCCAATGCGAATCGGGAACTTCATACGTTTTCCGAGGGTTGTGAACTTTCTTCGAATTGCAGGTTTCATCACGATGTTTTCCATCACCGAAAAGCTCATGGTAAATAATTGTTAATACAAAGATCGAACACTCAGAAAAAATTCTTTCGATTCGGCCGGATTCGAACCGACGTCTTCTAGCATACCGTGCCAGATGCTATACCAGCTAAGCCACCTCACGAATTTTTCAATTTGCTTGCGTATCTTTGTATTTGGTTTTTCAACGACTTTTTAGCCATCTATGAGAAATCTATGATATTTCGTCACCCAGTTGTCTAACTGGTAAAGGTACCTTTACAGCTACCAGCCCCGGCTAGAGATGTCGCTATTCATTGTATTTAAATTTTGATTGAATTGATACTCAATTATTTTTATGTGAAATTACTACTCATGGTAAATTTCGCACATAAATTCCGGAAAAACTCAGAAATGCGAGACCGGATTCGAATCCACGGCCTCTGCTTGAGAGAGAGTAACGTGCGGCTGTTATTAATTTCCATGACAGAGAAAATTGCAACTCCTTCACAGCAGACAGTTAAAGAGTATAACGCGTTTGAAATCTACTGTGAAGCAGTAAAAAAAAAATATGACTCATAATAAATGTGTACTGAAATTACATTCCTTTCTTCATTCTATTGGCACATTCTGAGATCTCTAGGAATGTACATTACATTTGACAATTGCCATGGCCCGCACGTAATTGCCTATTGTAACTCTTATTTAGGTATGTATACTCATACTGAAATGTTAGCAAGCTATATTGCTATCTTAACAAAAAGCCGACTCATAACAAAACAGTAATTTTTGAATATTAAAAATTGTAGGTACTCTTCTGCTCAGGGTGATATTTATGGCACAATATTATAAATATTCCTCTTTTAAAAACATTCAATATCGGTCACTTAAGGCGAAATGGTATCGTGGTTGCGTAGGCATTGAAACCTTTGAGACGCGGAGAAATTCCTTGCAACATACTTAAACATTTGCCTTTTAGAAAATATAGTCTCTTACTGTAAAATAAGCTCATAGTCTCCTGACGTATTTATTACCGAGCGAAAAACCTTCTACCAGTGTAGCCTGTGGGTGTAGTATACTAAGATCATCCTAAACAATTTAAGGGTGCAGTACAACAACGCATTTGAGATGTTGATGAGGGTAACTGCACTCACGATTCGAAAATATCTTGATAAAATTCTGTATATTATTATGTACTTCATTTGTCTGAAATAAACGATTTCTATTGATTATTATTTACTACCGAAACGAGATAAGCTTCCATTGTTGCTGGCGCCTATGTTGTTAGTTACTCTAATTGCAAGCAATTGAGGTCCATGTGAAGGAGTTCGTCCAGGGAAGTACTGCCACCACACCTCTTTCTGCCGCTAAACCGTAATGCATTCCGATAATTACTACACTCCGGTTTTGAAGGGTAAGGACGCGTTCCCACTATGTCGTCACGTTTTATTATCGTTGGACGACTGTCGTGTCTAGCCTGTTCCCATATCACGACTATCTGTCGTGGACGATTTTTTATCGTTGAACGACTGTCGTGACTAGCTGTTCCCACTAGATCGTGACGACAATTTATCGTTTCACGACAGCCTTCTTGCCCATCTCTGGCTACGACTCAACGCTATTGCAAAGCGAGCAGAGGGTGCGGGGTACGAGAGGGGAGGGCAGGGAGCAGAATACGTGCGGACAGCGATAAATAAAACGTGACGACAATAGGAGCTGCGACAATCTGTCGTCACGTTTTTATCGTGACGTTTTTTATCGTATGACGACTGTCGTTCTAGATGTTCCCCCTGTGACGACAGTTTGTCGTTGTAACGATAAAAAATCGTGAATGACAGTTAATCGTGTCGTGCTATATGTGAACAACTTCATTTAAATATACAAGCCACGACACTGTAAACTGCACGACAACCTGTCGTCACGACATAGTGGGAACGCGCCCTTAGAATGCTAGTAAAATTGTAAGCACGTGGGACTTGTTAACTTATGTCTCAGAGTGACTGGTGCAGTGACAGAACCCTCAGGTCTTTGCTATTTCAAGCTCGAAGCTCGAGCTTGTGGAAGATCTCCCAAATTATCATGCTACATAAAGTGGGTAGAAGTTGGAAACAAAGACAAAGAGTATTGCTCTTCTGCATTCCGGGACGTATAAGAGGCATTCGACCGTGTTTAGCACGAGGGTTTATCAAGATAACTCTTTCCCACAGCTATATCCCATTGTTGAAGTCTTATCTGACGACAAGATTATTCCAAGTGAAGAAAGCAGATGCAACATCAAACTTGTATGACATAAAGGCAGGCGTGCCGCAGGGATCTGTTTTAGGCCCAGTACTATACACACTATACACTGCTGATCTGCCTATAGTACCAGGGGTAACTACTGCCACTTACGCTGACGACACAGCGATTCTGGCCAGCGGTAAAGATACTGCTAAAGCGTCACTAGTCTTACAACATGGACTCAATGAAATAACAAAACGTCTTCAAACGTGGCGAATCAAAGCTATTGCCACAAACTCAGTTCATGTGACCTTTACATTGAGGAAAGGAAACTGTCCGACCGTTCAACTTGAGAATGCAGTACTCCCACAAAGTGACTGTGTGAAATATTTAGGCTTACATCTTGATCGGCGACTAACATGTAAACAGCACATAAAGGCAAAACGACTCATCAACGGCTCATCCTGCGATAAAAAAAAATTATACTGGCTGGTCGGACGAAACAGCAAGCTGTCAATAAACAATAAACTACTCATCTACAAAACAACACTGAAGCCAGTATGGCTCTATGGAATCCAACTATGGGGGAGCGCCTATGACTCCAATATATTTCATGTTACAAAGAATGCAAAACATTATCTTGCGTAATATGGCTACTAGCCATTGGCTAGTGTACCCTGGTGTGTCACAAACTCGGAAATCCACAAACACCTGGAAATTAATACGGTAAAAGAGGCAGTCATTAGTACCACCTTAAGATCGGTAATAAAAAGCCAGCAGTAAGCATAATAGCCATGAGAACCATCGTAATGAAATGGCAAAACAGTTCACAATCAGCAGTTACAACAAAAGGGTCAAACGAAAAGACATATTCCCATTAGAGTAATGTAGTGTGCACATATAGGGGAAGAACCTCACAGTGGAGAGTTCGTCTGCGTTAACATAACCGATTACTAGTACATTTGCTACAGTGGCACTGATTGCAAATGATTCACTACAAAAAAATGTAACGCTAACGTATTCGTCTCCAAACCCCGGGAACCCGACAATGACCAGTTTGTCTCGTGTCGGACAAACCAGTGAGACGTCGTGTTTAGGAAACTAGGAGTTGCGGGCTAGATTCTCAGATAAGAGAGTCAAACATCTCATTAATTTAAAATTAAGTATAAATGTTGTCGATATAGATTATTGTACATAATGCATAATGATTATGAAAGAAAAGTCAAATCAAGAGTAGGTATTCTTACGAGTGACTATGAGGCGAAAGATGAGTGTCAGGATCGTAGCAAGTGGAAGGCTTAGGTCTCTATGGTCTCTTCTTCCCATGGGAAAAAGGCGTAAAATATGTGAATGTATATATGTGTTTGCCAGTAGCGCGTACTCATCAACCACAGCGTAGTCTGAACTTGATGTTTAGAGTATTCCGTGTAGCTTGTGTGTGAGCTCTACATGTACGTTTTCTGTCCAGATGGTTGTGATAAACTTCATGTGATTGGTCAGTTTAAGGGATTCTAAATACAAACAAACTATAATGTTTATCTTCCCACAGATGATGATGAATTAAGGTTTTACAGATTTGCTCGATTCTTTGACAATCGACATAGTATTTTTTGCTGATCAACATGTATGATCACGATTAGACAAAATCGAGTAAATCTGTAAGAAACAGACGATGGATGTCGTACTTTTTGTAGATCCGACACGTGTAGTTAGGTCGTCAATAAACATAGCATATCTGTTTATTTTATAATTTTTTTTTTATTTCATTTTATTTTTATACCTTTAGGCACTTTTTAAAGAGCAAAATGTTTACGACGCCTGTAATGGAATATACGGGCGTACAGCTGCGTGAGACAACTCATGTCTCACTGACATATAATTTGCACCATACATACCATAACAATCGGCGAGTACCTTACACCAATTGGCATATCCTTTCACCACGATGGTAAGCATTACAGTATTTGCCATGGATATGATAAGAAGAAGAAAATTATTTTGTGTTTTCACGGTTAGTTTCTTCTATTGACAGTTTTTTATTGATAGTAGAAACAAACACATTTTAGACAAAAAAAAGAAAGGGGCTGACTTACCTTACTTATTGATAATCTTTGCATGGCCGGGAACTGGTGGGAGCCTGTGGTGTCAGTGATTTGGAGGGTGCATATTGTTTTGTTGCTGCTTATTACCTGCACAACACAAGACAGATTGTAAATAATTGATTATTTATTACACAGTGAAGAAATACTATTTTATCTAGTCCTATTTGAAATCCTATTTATTATTATTATTATTATTATTAGTAAATTGATATACTAGCAGTAGAGCTCCTTGTGAAAGAGTTCGTCCAATGGTGCTGGTGAAACAACAGGCACATGGGACTTGTCAACTTATGTCTCAAGATGACGGGCTCAATGGCAGTGCCCCCAGATCTTTGCTTGAAGTGCAGCTCTGAGTGGCACTGCAACTGATATGAACAGGCGTGTCGCTTAGCACCAGGCCCACAACTTGTTTGTCCTGTTACTTGGTATCATGAAAAAAAAAAACATTTTTGTTTAATTAAATTTACTTAATGCAAATTTCGTAAGGTCCGTTGGTTGTTCTGCAATGGAAGTCTTTCAGCTGAAATGTTGATTAATATATTCATTGTTGTCAATATTTAGATCCAGCACAGTACAACACTAACCTTGGCAAGTTAAGGTTTAACTGTAACCTTGCCAATATTGGCAGATGGCACAAAGCAATAAGCAATTTCCTTAGAATCTGTGCACAACAAAGGACATAAGCCCAATTGGCGAGGTGCCAAGTTGTGTCAGGGTCTTTGGCAATGCTACATAGCTATCAAGGTTATGCCAAAAGTATAATGATACCATAACAACCTATGTTATTATTGTGCTGCAATTATATACACAAGATGATAAACAGTAAGCATGCCACATATTTTTTTACTAAATCATCAACTCATCAAAGTACATGATCATAATATCATAATGATCATCATCATCAAATAGAACTTATTTGTTAAAAGCAATTTGACATCCTCAGTGGCACAGAGCATAACACTGTGGCTGCTAAATGAGTAGATCCCAGGTTTGTTTCCCAATAGAATCAATTTCAGATAAAAACTTTTTAAATTGTCCTGGTCTGGGTTGTCTGAGTAATATCCTAGAGTTAATTTTGTTGCTCTGGTGTAGGGAATTTCCTACTTTCAAATCTGGTTTTACCTACCTACTTTTAAACCTACATTCCAAAATCGTGTATTTAAGAAAATTGTCAATAAATGATATGAAAAGTTGGTAAACAAATACCTACATTATTATGTATTATAAACTCAATACAAAAAAAAATGCACTTATCCCATTATGTATGATTCTAGAAAACAATGCACAATGAAAATTACACAAAAACACGCTGTTTTACTACCTCTTATTATGTACTTTTATCCAGGCTTTTATCTTACTCCCACACAGTATGTGCAAATCATCCGAAAGTATCTACCTAGTAACTATATGAACCATTGTTCAATATCCCGGTACTTTCAATACCATAGCTAAATTACATATACTAAATAAGAACATCAACAAAACAATACGATTAAAAACTTCGCACACTTAAAACTTACTTGTCTGTACGTATCTTCGATCGTCGGTATGTAAGATTCCCTGAATGTCCCTTTTACAAAACGTAGAACAAGGGAACTTTTCCCCACACCACCCGCGCCAAAAACAACAACGCGATAATCATTACTTTGCTCCGGCATTACTTATTCTTGCAAATCTTTCCGAAAACAACAAATCAATTTCGGTGTAATGGGCTGCAGCTCAAGAAATTTAATCTATAGCATTTTATTAACAACGAGAAATACAGTACTTAAATATTGATTATTGTAACGATTAATAATAAAATTAGCTCACAGTTATGTCGAAATAATAATACATTATTTTGTAACTTTCGTTTACAACGCCCAAATACAATTACGAACTCCGAAGTTTATGCGACGTCCGCGACTCGCGTACTCGCGTCGCTGCGGTAAATGCTAAATGTCACCGAAATGTCAAACTTATTTACGTCCTGAAAATATTATTATTATTTTTTAAATATCAATATTTATTTGTAGTCAGATTATTGTTGGGTTAGGTTCGTGTATGGTCATGGAAAAATGTTCATTTAAAAAAAATCATATTTTTCAGAAAAGCTAATATTTTCCCAGCTATTTTTCCAATATTCTGCCTCCAATTTGCCACATCGACGTTGACACCTGTCAAAAGTTGAAGTTACTGAACGAAAACGGTGGAGCCAACGCAAAAGTTTTGTTTTAATGTGGTCCTTTGTACAGTTCACAAAATAAAAAGATTGGTCCAAAGGTCCAATCATTTTATTTATTTCAAAATAGAAATTTTTCCATGATCTAACACTGCGTAAACCCTTAGAGGACGGAAAAAATTGATTTCCTTAATCTACTAAGCCTAAACCTCAGTTTTTGAATACTTTCACGTTTGCAACATTCCGTACAGCAGTTTTGGCTAAATTTATTTATTCTGAAGCCTTAAAAACGAAAAAAACCGTGGTTGCTAATTTAGGGTTATGTTATTATTTGTTTGTTAATCTACCTTAACTGACCTTAACGTAGTCACAAACCACTAATAATCTTAGTTTTGTTTTAATAACAACGCAAAATGGTAAGTTCTACACTAAACCTGTACATTTCATGAGCAATGTGGCTGTAATGTTCTCAAAGAAACATTATTTAGCCAAGGGAGTAATCTCACTTGAAATCAAATCAGGTTTCTGCAAAGGTTGTTTGCGATTAATTTTGTATTAAACGTCGCTTTACTATTTTTATCTTCTAACAAAGTGTAGAACTAAATCGAACAATAAAGTTATTATACGTTTTTTTTTGCAAAATGTTCTCATTAAACATTCGTGTTTTTAACTAAAAATATTTCTTTTACACAGGCCAGGAATGCAGAGAAGGCTATGTAAGTATTTTTTCAATAATTTGACAAAACCCCCATTGGAAAAATTTTTTAAAGCGAGAATATAAAAATAATTTTATATTATCATATAAGCTATAACTTGTTGTAATAGCAAATCTAATTTCCGTCATACGTTTTTACTATACTGTCGTGTGTATAGGACAACACTAGCACGGTGGCGCGCAGCGCAAGTGCAAGAAGCAGGCGGACAGCGTGAGCGCAGGCCGTACTTAGCATCAGAATGTAATGACTTACAGCAAGCTGAAAAATGGCGTTTGCAAATTGTCCGCGAAATCGCCAAGAAGGTTGCTCAGATACAGAATGGTATGTCACTTTGCTAGTAGTTCCCAGTGCAATAGAATATGGTCGAGCGCATAAAGGCATTAAGGACAACATGGAAAACTATCAATCAATTTTTTTATTTCATGTAAGTCTTTGAAATGAAATGTTAGAGATAATAAAGATAGAAAGTAAAAGATTAATTTAATACAAGAATGAAGTAACCTTGATTCTATATTAAATTTTGGACTAATGTCAGGACAATGGTATATGATATAGTCAACAGACAATTAAAAACCTTGTATCAACTATTCATGCTTTTCAGAAATTTGATAAATAAGTCATATTATATTCAGGCATATTATATTTCATCAAACCTGTCTTTTGTTTGCTTCAGAACTGAGAGAAGTAAATGACAGCTATGATACCTATATGTAAATAATAATAATATTCCTTGCTGCATTCTTCATAACTGATACTGGCCCAAGCCCAGTGGTCGCTATTAAGGTAATAATGCGCACACTTTCATAGCCCTGCACTAGGGAAACCCTGTATCATGGGTGCCATGGGCACACACATAGACAACCACAAGTTGCATCCAAACTCATGAGAGAAATAAATGTACACCATACAAATATTTCTCCCAGCCCAGGAATCGAAACCGGGACCTCTGTGTGGCAGTCCAGCATGGTAATGTTTCGCCCATGAAGGCAGTTAATATTATTATTTGCTTATCCTTTGCATACCCAAAAAATTATATTATATACTATAATTATACATTGTAAATTTACTGGCTGAAGATTTTTACAGCCAAAAATGACACTGAATATTCCAAAAAATCCTTTTCTATAACGAGCGGGCTCTGTTTCACAGTAACTACAATATACACATATGTATTCTGTGATGCACACATAAATACAAAACAACTTATTAACCTGTGAATATGGCACTACTAGGCAAACTAAAAACAATGCAACCTTTTTTAAATTGCTTGCAAATGATTATTTATAAAAATGATAAATCACTGTACTAAATTCAAGTCATCTTTATATGAATCTATTGGGCCATGATTATTTGTGTAATTATATTTTCTAAAATGTATTTATGAAGAATGAGAAATTCTAGTGTTACTTAAAATTTTTACAGCAGAATACCACAAAAATGGAAGAAGATACAGAGAATAATGCAGCCTCAACCCACATTAATCAAGTTCCTATGTTACATGAGCCATCTGAGAATGGCCCTGCAGTAGACACAAGGAATGTAACAGATATTTTTCCGATACCTGAACAAACTTCTTCAGTAATAAAAACTCCAACTCCGAGAAAAGGTTCGATAGAGGGCCCTGTGGCAGAAACTCGAAAGTTATCTATAGCTGCGGCAGATACTAGGAAAGTGACAGATACTTTTCCAAAACCCGAACAAACTCCTTCAGCAGTAAAACCCCCAACTCCCAGAAAAGGTTCCATGGAGCGCCCTGTGCCAGAACCCAGAAAGTTATCTGCACCTGCCGCAGATACTTTCCAAGTACCCGCCGCAGTGACAGATACTTTTCCGGTACCCGAGCAAACTTCAGCGGTAAAATCACCAACTCCGAGAAAAGCTTCCATGGACCACTCTGTAACAGAAGGTAGAAAGTTATCTACACCTGCCGCAGATACTTTCCTAGTACCCGCCGCAGTGACAGATACTTTTCCGGTGCCCGAGCAAACTTCTCTAGCAGCAAAAACGCCAACTCCCAGAAAAGGGTCGACTGAGGGCTCTGTTGCAGAAACTAGAAAGTTATCTACAGCTGCGGCAGATACTTTCGTAGTACCCGCCACAGAGACAGATACTTTTCCGATACCCGAGCGAACTTCTTCAGCACTAAAAACCCCAACTTCCAGAAAAGGTTCATTGGAGGACCCTGTGGCAGAAACTAGAAAGTTATCTGCAGCTGCGGCAGATACTTTCATAGTACCCGCCGCAGTGACAGATACTTTTCCGATACCCGAGCGAACTTCTTCAATACTAAAACCCCCAACTCCCAGAAAAGGGTCGATGGAGGGCTCTGTGGCAGAAAGTAGAAAGTTATCTACAGCTGCGGCAGATACTTTCCTAGTACCTGCCGCAGTGACAGATACTTTTCCGATACCCGAGCGAACTTCTCCAGCAGTAAAAACCCCGTCTCCTAGAAAAGTCTCGAAAGCTTCTAGTGTTGCAGAGAACCTGTCCGATGCTGTTTCGAAGCTCGTCCCTCAAGGTCAAGAGCTTAGTAATCATGTTGAAGAACTAACTGAAACTGTTAAAAAACTTACAAATTCCATGGATGACCCACAAACGCCTGGTGTAGGAAGCAACATTGACAAAATAGCTCATATGAGTCAGGTCCTCACAAACGAGGCAAATGCTCTCAGAGCGTCGATCAGAGGTTTATCTGAGGACATTGAGCGCACCAAAATAGAACTAATTACTTCTAAGGGTGAAGATGTCAACTTTCCTTATCATCTATTTTTGGTTGAAATGATTGTGAACAAAATCCATATGAAATGTGATTGTTTTAATCTCGATAGCCACAATCTGGTGATTTCGGCAACCTTTTTAGGTAAACCTCCTATTGTGTTGTATGATTCTTCTTACGGGAAAATCGATAGCTTCAGCAAATTGAATGTCGGGAAATCTACCTTATTCGCAATGACTTACGATAAAATATGCGGTATTGATCGATTTGAAATTCACTTGCAATTGACGAAGGAGCCTCCTTGCACGAACTGCGTTACTAAGATAGCAGAGACACGAATGGATTATACGCAAGAATTTATCACTCTGAGAGAGGAATTGTGTAAAAAGTGGACCGAAGAAAAGCCAAATGATAATATAATTTGTACTACGTCGACACCACTCTCCAAGAGTATGTTTTATCTATCTTGTGGGGATAACAGCCCTGAATCTATAGGAGTAATTGAAGTCTCAGTTCGTATGTCGTTTTTGGGCAAAGAGATAACTACGGCCTTTTCGGCGACGCCAAAACCGAGAGGAACTAACATGTTTACAAAAGAAGATAACGGAATGATGATGTACTCGTGCCAAAAGGTGGAAATGGACGATTCGGGCAAAATATTACTAGATGAAGATGTATTATCGAAGAAAGAGTTAGCATGTAATAGTTTGCCTTATGACCCTTACGAGTGTCCATCGGCATGCCCTTCGAATAAGGTTTTGGCCAAGCGATATGACCCGCCGTCGCACAGTAGAGTACGGGGCTACTCCTCCCAACATGGTCATCAAGGTTCGATTTACAAATACCTACCTTTTATTTCTAACTGCTGTAACATGGGTTTGCCCGTGGGTTTAACATTATCAATCATATGCTAATAAGTAACCATAATTGTCGAGGACAATATTCCAATTTTTATTTGATATCTCTTGTCTTGTACGAATAGGCAAGTTTATCAATTTTGATTTTCTAGGAGGTGTACCGAAATACGACGAAATCTTCACGAAAATGAACAAAAATGAATTGAAGATCAGAGTGCCGAAGAGTACGAGGGTCGAACGAATGGGAAAGTATGATAGCGTACAGGAGATGTGCATTTGTGAGGATAACCCGCACAATACAGGAGAACAAATACAATTCGAACTACCTCGAGATCTTTGTCGCCAAGACAAAACGCACAATACTTATTCTCAAAATCTGAAATATACGTATACGGGATGCGACAAGTCCTGCGAAAGCAAAGATCGCAAAATAGTAAATGTAACTCCATCGAACTGCCCCATACCTGCAGTGAATATGGAGAAAATGGTCCATCCGAACAAAGATGTTTTTATTCTAAAAATAGGCAAAAAATTGGAAACAAAGGACAAAAAGACAGATCTTGAAATAGAACTTATGACTCCGAAAATAACTTCGGATAAGGGCGCGGATGTTGGGGCGCAGTACAGTAGTTCCACTATAAAGTCTTCGAAGAAAGGCAAAAAGAAGAAGGGCAAGGGGAAAGGCAAAGGTAAAAAGGGTAAAGGTAAAGCGAAAGGCAAAAAGAAGAGCAAAACCAGTCTCAAAGGGGGTAAAAAGAAGAAAGTCAAGAAATAACACAGTCAAAACAATGTATTCACAGGAAATCAATAAAATATTTTAACATTATTCAATGGATTTATTTCCCCTTTACCAAGGTATATTTGTACAGTAGTACAGTAGCGTGGTATCTGCATACAAATTATGCCACCTGATGGTCAACGAGTCAAGGTTATTTCATATTTTAACACACTTTCACAAGATTAACAACTATGTTCGCAGCTGTAAAATACATTAACTTAAAATTTACAGCTGGTTTAGGCGAATTTCGCATTCGAGACCTGAACGATGAGATCAACAAATTGATGCGAGAGAAACGTCATTGGGAGGTACAGATCAAGTCCCTTGGGGGTCCAGACCATGCCCGAGTCGGGCCGAAAATGCTTGACCAGGACGGAAAGGAGGTACCTGGGAATCGTGGATATAAATACTTTGGCGCTGCTAAGGATTTACCAGGTATAATATTCTGCTTACCTGTTTTATTTGTTATTCAATCACAATTGTTTTCAATAATATCAATATATTTTATGTCAAATGGGATATATATACTTCATCTCGGTTTTATTTAAGTCATTCTATACATACCTAATCTGCTACAATAGCAGGAAAAGTGAACCATACAGCTAACTTACAAATACTACTACTACAGGTGTCCGCGAGCTATTCGAGCAGGAACCGCCGCCGCCGCCTAGACGCACTCGCGCTGATCTCATGCGGGATGTCGACGCCGATTACTACGGGTACAGAGACGATGACGATGGCTTGCTCATTCCACTAGAAAAAGAGGCTGAGAAGGAAGGTGAGATATATTCATTTCACAGTACTAGCATAGTAAATAAGAGCAAGTAGCGCAACTCCCGCCGTTCAACGCGTGAATGCCTACACTTCGCTCGGAGCGTATTATTATATTTGACATTTAATTGATATCGACATTATGTTTCATAACTAACGGAATATTGAACTAATCATTGCTTTATACTTGCTATAATTAGGGTTAATCACGGAGTATGTGAAAACGGCATTTAAAACAATTTCTTTCGAGACTAGCGTAGCTGACTTTTACACGCACACATTTGTTACCAAATACGCATAAGGTTTTACTACACGCAAATATTAATTGATATTAGCTACGCAGGCGTGTGCGTATACGTACCTGCATGCTACAATCACAGTATTATTGATTTATTATACTGTCATCGTACTTTCATTAACCTACTAGATTTCCGGTCAATCCGATCACTGGAAGGGTTGAAATATTAAAACACAGTCATCATAAAAATCTTTATTCTCCCTGAAATATGATACATTCAACAATTACCTCTCTGAACTGACTGAACATGACTACACCGATAGCGTCGACGAGCTTGTCAAGAAAATGAAGATACTTATTTCCGAATGCGAGGAAGCGTATCATTTGTTTCATGAAAACTTGACGAAAAATAACTGACAATGCTTCAGAAATGTTTTCACATTTAGATATGGTCTATAATTTGCGACTCTTGAGTTTCATGTCATATATTACCTGATTTAGCAAATGATTTATTTCTTAATGAATTTTTCGGTTGTTATTCATATGTATATAATTTAATGTGATGTCATGAAATGCCTATAGCAAATGGTGCTACATTTAGTAGGTACCCAGCTCTTACTGCCTGTTGCTTCAGCCCATTTTCTCCTTTGAAAAGGATCCGGGGGGAAACTAAAAAATCAATACAAAAACTGCAAATGTAAATCATGCCTGTGATAAAACTTAGAACTCAAGCGGACGAAGGTGACGTATAATAAGCAAGTAGGGAGATAAGAATCATGTAGATAAGGTAAAGAAAATCTCCAATCTCATAAAGTCTTCATTTGATACGAACTTACGTGCATTGTAAAATTATCGACACTGTACCTCTTCTATCTATATTTCCTTTTTTTCCATTAATATATCTTTTTTACTTAAATTTAAAATTAAAAAAATACTATTGCTAGTGTTGCTTGAGCTTTTAAATACCTGTAAACAATTTATGTTTACACATTGATACAGCATGATAAAAAAAATGTTGAACTAAACCCGGGTTTCTAAATACAGAGTTTCTACATATCGATACTTTGATTACAATACGCGGACCCAGTACCAAGTGTAATACGACCTAGTGCAAGCAATGCATTGAGCGTCATTAAAATTGTTCTTTTGACGGCGGCGATGGCTAGCAACCAATGTATATTGTTATTACCGAGTTGCAAGAAAATTGTTTTGTTTCGAAATTATAGTATTGTATTGTTGAAAATATTAGAAAATATAGAGTTTTATAGTACTTACCGATTAAATGAAACCACTCCCGGAGTATTTTTTAAACTTTGGCTTCTTACGCGACATGATATAATTGCAGAATATTTCTATTTTTTCCACAAAATAATCATGTATCATATTTGAACGACGACTAACGCGCTGTTGACACTCATATGCCCGTCTGGTGATAAGCTAGGTAAGGCGGACCCCGCCCACTAACCAGTCTATTACTAGTATTTATGTGGTCTGTGGTGCACACATATAAGCTGCGCTGCTACGTTTGTATGGAGTTACTGTACTTGTCTTATTAAGTTATTGTACTATGGTCTAGTGACAATATTATGAAGGATTACAAAACTTTAACACAATTACGTATGTATGTTTGAAGGAAATTAAAAACCAAATATGTTGCTAGCTAGGACGGATAATAATAATATCTTTAACGTTGCTATTCAAATAATAACGTCAGTTTCGCCATGGAAAATTGCCCTCAATGGAAAGTTGCAATTAATAAAGACGTTTTAATCTTAGGAAATTAAACTGTTTTTCCGGATTTAAATCGCGTATATTTGTTTTTTGGTACAGTCTTCAACCAGTTATGTCTAATATTGATGCAAACGTTTTATTCTTTTATCGTCTACATATTAAATTTTCGAACTACTTTTACTACCCAGGAGTTTCCGGAGTTCTGTATATTGATGCAAATATAATCCGTAGTTGCAATATTTACAGAAATTCCTAGAAGTATAATATACTTATTTCTGAAAATATAAAACTGAAACGTATACATCTCACACCAATTACTTCCACCTTCGTTTCATCATTACATTTTTCATGATTATAGCAATCGCACGAGCAGTAGATAAATGGAAGACAAATAAAGAGCAGAACAAGGATCAAGAGTTACCTGAAGAGGAAAATATCTATCCAGAAGATGTAAGCATTATTTTTACTTGTCAATAGACAAGAAATTGAATAGGCGTTAGAATGAACATATATTTAAAGGTGGTTAGTTCATAATAACAACACCGCTGGAAGCTCAGCGTGATGTCTGAGGCATGGGAGAGCCCTCGATTTCATCATTATTATGTACAAAGCGCTCCCCTCTCTCGCCTCATAAACTTCTACATTTTGATTGGTCTAAGGCATAGTATTTTAAAGTAGCCCCTACCGCCCAAGTGGGCGCTGAACTCGGAAGCAATTGGGGGGCGTTGATACTGTACAGGGGGTGCTACTGCATTTAAAATAAACCTTAATTATCACTACACTACATATTATATATTGTATAGTTTTTTCCTCGTGATTTTTTGTGATAAGTTAATATAAAACATACGTGCTTTTTCAATTATAGTTTGTGGTCGTTGAAATTTTTTTATATTGCCTAAATGGGCGGTGTGCCAAAAAGTTTGGGAACCTGTGGTCTAAAGTATTGTATCATCCCACATTCTACGGGATTGTTCTGCTTAGGACGATTAAGTTCATGTGTAAAATTTACATCAATAAAAATTAACTTCTATGTGCCACAGCCGGAGGACAAAAGAATCGACGAAGAAGAAGGTAGTGAACCCCGCACCGTGACATCTCACGTGGCAGTCCCATCGCAAAAGGATATCGAAGAAGCTTTGCTCAGAAGAAAAAAGCAGGAGTTATTGGAACGATATGGCTGTCTCGATGTCAAATTTGAACAAAGTTGACTGATATAGTATTTAGTTATTTATAAGGTTATATGAATAAGTTTAAAGTGAATATTTATGTTTTTTATTTCTGCAAGATAAGCCTTGTCGCCAGATAATATTATTAATGTAGAAAATAAAAGTGAACATCCACCAGCCAGGCCCAGGAGACAAAACAAGGACAAAAATTACAAAATTCTATTAGTGCATCTGCAATGGACATGCATCTGAACATATCAAGCAATAAAACAAAGCTTTTTCTTCTTTGCAATATTAATTTATTTTTGAATAATTTCGTTTATATTTCTGGACATCTATTTCTAAGCAAAATATACAATTGGAAACACAGATATTCAAATAGTCATTGACTTATTCAACTTTATGGTATATACTCATGGCCCTAAGCCCCTAAACGATTGAGGAACATAAATTGTACAAACAATAAAATAATTAACTAGAAGTTGATAAGCTAGTAGTGAATACCGAGTGCCACTAAGTCTTTAATATACAAGACGTGTATAGCTAATCCCTATTTTCATAATAAATATTGTTCTTATTCTAATAAAATTCCACCTGATTTAATTAGAATTAAACCCTCTATATCCAGTCGCCGGCGTCGAAGACAATAGTGGCACTCGAACCAAAATACATCACACACGTTACGTTAAGTGGTCATATATTGCCCACGTTACGTAGTTATATACATGGAAACTTATATAATATATAAACTTATTTGTAATCCTTAAAGCGCCGGAAATAATAAAAGGAAAACCTAAGTTACAATAAAAATATTAAGCATAGATTAATTAAGTATCAGATATTAATAAGATTACACCTAATATTAGGAATGTACAAACTTAACGCGCTGATAAGCTCTGAAATACTAATTACGCATTAAAACTAATAACACCGATATTGCTATTAAGTATAATTAAAAAAAACTAATTGCATTGGGATAGCCACCGAAATAAAACTGCATAATGCACAATGAACGGTGCGCGAGATCGTGTAATAAGCAATACTAAAACATATCTCTATGAAATTGAAGTAAAACTCTATAATAACTAATATTATTAGAAAGTTAATTATAATTATTTAATATCTGAAATGCACTGACTACTGACGCACAATCACAATTTCATAGAATAAATAATAATAAATTAATAATTAAAATTGACATGGACATGGTCGCTGACCGAGTTCCAGAAGTCTAAACTCAACATCTGCCAGAATGCGATGGAACGCAGTATTCTGGGCTTTAAAAGTATTGATCGAGTACGCAATACAATGCTGCGTTCGATGACTGATGTGGGGAGTAAAGCAGCCAGGCTCAAATGGGATTGGCGGGCCAGGTTAGCCCGATGCAACATGTGAATGAGCGAACGTCATCACTCCTTGGGTGCCCAACGATGGAAAGAAACGGCGTGGACGGCCGACAAGGCATTGATGACGGGACGATTTAGATGGTTTGAGAGAGAGAGAGAGTGGTGGGAGATTGCTAAAGACCGGGGGCAACGGAGGATTTTGGGGGAGACCTTTGCCCAGCAATGGGACATAATAGGTTACTAAAAAATTAATAACAGTAGAATAAGAACAAGTACGGTAACTCCGTACAAACGTCGCAGCGCGTCTTGTATGTGTGCGGACGCACACATTTGCATAACCTAAGGATCTCTAGCGTTACACAACACTGGTTGTCTCAACGCGCCTTTCATTATTATGCTAATGTGTGCGTCCGTACACGCCACACGGCGGTTGCGCTCACATACAAGACACGCTGTTATTTTGTACGGAGTTACCTAATTTGTTTTATTCTACTATATTAATAATTTACCAGTGTTAACAAATTGTAACACTTGATTCGTTGAGAATATTCCAGTATTGCTTAAAACTTCTTCACTTCGCACAATTCAATGTGCATTATGTCTTACATCAAAAATAAACTACCGGGCTAGTACATAGGGCGCACTATAAGTTTCCGGAACTGGCCACTTACATAGCAATATTTAAAAATTACAACATTTGAAAATCTCTTTGGCTGTAGAATACAATTTGTTTCATCTGACTGTCACTTGTTTTTACATTGTGGCGCCATTTTAGAAATTGGTTGTCTACATCACCATGGATTTAACTCGTGAAAATTTTCGTAGTATGATTTTCTACGACTTTAAGTGTAATGTAACAGCTCAGCGGAGGTTCGCTCGGCTTCAAACTGCTGTTGGCGATGAAGCACCATGCAAGACGACTATTTATAGCTGGTTTGCAGAATTCAAGCGCCGTCGTGTGAATCTCAGTGACGAATTTCGTAATAGTCGCTAACAACAACAAAAACATCGATGCTGTGCGCCGTATGATCAAAACAGACAGGAATGTGACATACCATGAGATTCGGGCATCTTTAGGCATAGGCATGAGTCAAATACAATCAATACTACACAAACATTTGGGTGTGTAAAAGCTGTGCTCTCGATGGATCACACACAATTTGACTGAGGCTCAAAAAACGGATCGCGTCACTTGGTGCAATGCCATGCTTGCCAGATTCAACGAAGGGGCGTCAAATTTGGTGTGGGACATAGTAACAGGTGACGAAACGTGGATTTATATAGTTACGATCCCAAAACAAAGCAGCAATCGAACGTATGAGTCTTTCCAACTCCAACCAACCAAACCAACTAAAGTGGCGCGCGTGCAAAGTGCTTCTAAGCGGATGATTGCTTCTTTTTTAAATAAAACTGGACACGTGGCTACTGTTGCTTTGGAGAATCGTTATACCGTGAATTGGTACACGACCATTTGTTTCCCGGAAGTTATTGACAAACTCCGTAAAAATAACCGTAAACGCCGTATCTTCTTGCACCACGATAATGCCAATGAATTTTTGAAGGTTAACAACGTTGATCTTATGAGCCATCACGCGTACAGTCCCGACCTGGCACCTTGTAACTCTTATTTATTTCCAAAAATTAAGAACCAGTTACGCGGTCAACGATTTTCATCACCTGAAGAGGCTCTCGAAGAGTATGAAAAATATGTTTCAGAGATTGTCATGGAGGAGTGGCATAAATGTTTTCAAAATTGGTTCATTCGTATGAAAAAGTGCATTAACGCTAATGGAGAATATTTTGAGAAACAATAAATTCATTTCTGACCATTTATAGTATTTTTTTCTTATTCATTCCGGAAACTTATAGTGCGCTCCATGTATAATACTAATTTGGTGGAAGAGTTAGGGACAGGTTTCTTTTATGTCTATCTATACAAGGGCTAATTTCTTACAATGTACTATTGAAAAAGAACAACTTTTTTCTAAAATCAAATGTATTAACAGCATTTTAATTAACCCGTTTTATTATATATTACAATACGTTTAAAGAAATCAATTATGTAGCACTTTCATTGTAAAATCGAAAACAACTTTGCTCAATCGTACGTGATTTAGTACGTTATACGCTTAACACATTTAAGGACGCGTTCCCATTATGTCGTGACGACAGATAGGCGTGCAGGTTAAAGTGTGGCTATAATTAAATGAAGTCGTTCACATATAGTACAACGCGATTAATTGTCGTCCACGACTTTTTTTAACGTTACGACGACATACTGTCGTAACAATGGGAAGAGCTAGAACGACAGTTGTCAGACGATATATAAAACGTTACGATAAAAATGTAATGTTCTCTCTGATAAGAAGAAAGCGTGGTTAGATTGGTTATGGAAGGCGAGAAAATGGATCAAGTGAAAGAGTTTGTGTATTTGGGTTCTACGTTTACGTGTGATGGAAAATGTGAAAGAGACATTGAAAGAAGAGTGAACGCAGGGAATCAAGTGAATGGTGCCTTGCATACCTTCATGGGCAGCCAGAAAGGCACTGTCTAAAAAGGCACGATTGGCTAGGGATGGGGGGGGGTTCCTACACTTATGTATTGTGTAGTGAATGTTGGGTTTGGCAGAAGAAGCACGAAAGTAGAATTAATGAAGGACAAATGAGAGCTTTGAGGAGTATGGCTGGAGTGACTCGGATGGATAAATTACGGAACAGTGTGATAAGAGAGCGTTGCGGCGTGGAAGAAGATATAGTGACAAAGATAGAGAAAGGGATGCTTAGATAGTCCGGACATGTAGAGAGAATGAATGAAAGAAGAGTGACGAAACAGATTTATAAGGCGAGTGTGAGCGGGCAAGTTGGTATGGGCCGACCACGAAGAACTTGTCATGACCAAATTGAGGCCATCGTAAAGAAGGGCCAGATCAAGAGTACCCTTAACCGACGAGCGTGTATGAAAGCATTGATGCGTGTTGATGAGGCGAAAGATGTGTGTCAGGACCGTAGCAAGTGGAAGACTGTTGTCTCTGCCTACCCCGATGGGAAAAAGGCGTGAAGTATATGTATGTATGTATGTATGTATGTATGTATGTATGTATGTATGTAT